CGCCCCGCCCGCGAGCCCGCCCCGCCCCGCCCGCGAGCCCGCCCCGCCCCGCCCGCGAGCCCGCCCCGCGCTGTCTCGCGCTGCCCCGCCCCGCGCGGGAACGGGAGGGGCAGCGCTGGCGCTGGCTGTGCCGATTTGTTGCTCAACAAAGTTGCGGTATTTGAGCAAATCTCATTAGGGATAATGACACAGCAGCTTGGAGAAAAGAGCTTGATTTGATTCGGTTTTGATTCGATTTGATTTTTCTTATTATAGGTTTTATTATTCTTTTTTTAAAATTTTATTTCCTTTTCCTTTACTGTGTTTTAGTCCCACAGAATCACAGAAGCAGAATATCCTGAGTTGGAAGGGCCCCACAAGTAACATCAGTCCAGCTCCTGGCCCGGCACAGGGCACCCCACAGCGCTCACCCTGTGCCTGAGAGCGTTGTCCAAGCCCGTCCTGAGCTCTGCCAGACTCGGTGCTCTGAGCACTGCCCCGAGGAGCCTGTTCCAGTGCCCAGCCACCCTCTGGGTGTAAAACCTTTTCCTGATATCCAACCTAACCTTTATATTCTAGCTGGTTTATTTTTCTTGTTTTGTAATTTATTTTATTTTTACTTTATACTATTTTACTTTTTTTAAAAGAGGTTTATTTATATATTTATGTATTTGTTTTATTTATTTATTTATTTATAAATATCTGATCATGCTAGAGCTGAAAAATGAATTTACATGTGCTCTTTCCAGTCCCCTACATCAGTTGCCCACCTAAACTAAATAAAAGAGAGAGATTATTCCTGGGGCTGAGATTGGTGGCAATAAAACACTTTTGCTGTATGCATTCCTTAGCTGAAGTTATTCCATATACTGTTGCTGCTGCTGCTGCTGCTGCTCCTTTGGAGCTGATGATGGGTTTGCATTTGAGAAAGCCTGGAGGGCATTATTTTGTTGTTCTTTTTTAGTTATTTTAATTTTCTATTTATATTTTTATTTACATTTTAATTTTTATTTACATTTTAATTTTTATTTAAATTAATTTTTATTGGTTTGGGATTCTTTTTCTTTTTAATCAATTTAATTTTTTCTATTTATATCACTTTGTCTCAGCAAATAGCTTTCCTCTTGGATATCCCCCAGACCATCATGGATACAACCTTTCTTAAAGTGCATTTTATGACGAAAATGAACCAATTAAGATGCATTAAATGTTGTGGCTTCCAGGACAGATTTTAAGTTTTTTGTTCAAACAAGCTGTGTTCTCCCTGCCATGCACGTCTCCAGGAATTCCAGGGGGCTTTTTTGCCCTAAAAGACAAACTCCCCTAAATACCACTGGAATTCAGCAGAAATAGCATAGCCATTTCCTTCTTGCTAGATAGAAATGATTCCCAGGCCAGGTCTGCAGGTGAAAAGATGAGAAAGAAGAACACCAGCTGCAGATATGAACTGCCAGAGCAGTTGTTCTGTTGCTGGCTCCAATTCCTGTCACCAAGGTCCCCCCTAGGCCGCTGGTCAGGGCTTCTGGGAGCTCCCCAGCTCTTGAGCAAGAGCCCAGTGAAATTAGCCACTTCTCTTGCGAAACATTTCTGTCATTTTAGGTCACAAGAGCTGCTGGGGCCGCTTGACCTGGGGCCGTGCTGTGCACACAGGGCTCGGGAGCATTCGATCTGCTCTCAGCCTCTGCGCTCAACGCGCTCGGAGACCAAAGCGCCACCGCTTCAAAGGTGAAAGTACTGAATTCGAGTAAGGCTGGACAATTACCACAGTTTCAATGAGCTTGACTGTGTCCTGAGCTGAAGAACTGGGTGGGAAGGCACAAAGGCCTCCTGTAACCTCCAGCGGTCATTCCCAGGGTAAGCCTGGGGAAGAAGGGTCTCCAGCACTAAGTGGAGAAACTCTTCATGTCCTCTTGAGCCACTTGGAAAAAAACAATCCCATGGTATGAAGGATGTGGCTTCCTGACACACAAGTGCTCTTGACCTACAGAACAGTTAGTTCTGTGCTCCTTTTCAGTACTTGTATATTAATTATATTCCTGGGCAGGCTCTTGCTGTGCCCAGATTATACATTGAGGGGGTTGTAGGGTCTGGGTGGGGCATGGCAGTGCTGAAGGGGGGTGACTGTGGTAGTGCCCTGCATCATGTACTGCATTTATACTTGGGAGTTATGGCTCTGTGGGACAAAGGGACGTAACCTTTGTCTACATCCACTGAATAACTGAAAACAAATGCAAAACACATGCAAAATTTGCTGAAAACCACAAATTACTACTTGCACATAATAGTCAATGAATCAATAGTCAGTGAATATTGGAACAAGGGAGTTACTTATTTCTCAGCCCATATTTTATTAGAATATCTTGTTTTTTGAGTGCTACATATCTTCTCCACTTAACCAATCTACATTTCTCCCACCTGGACCACTCAGTTGTGCATCAAAGTGCTTCCTGGGTGATGTGATCACTTCGTAGACAGCAGCTCTAATTTGATGAGAGTCTGATTGAGCTACTAATGTAACAGACCAAACAGATTCACTTCTTTCTACAATTCAAAGTAAGTATATCAATCTTCAGTGGAAAGTACCTATGCTTCTCAGGTCTGAAATAAAAAAACCCCTGCTTTTTAATGGAGGAAGTAATATCCAAGGAAATCTTGGATGGTTTAACATTGGAAAGATTTTTACTGCTCAGCTTGGATACAACTCCCTTGGTGTTATTTAGTGTGTTTTACATTTATCACAGCTGGCTGTGTCTGTTACTGCAGTTCCAAGGTTTACATGCCGAGCTTTAGCTCTCCTTCCTCAAAAATATTCCTGGCATTACTTTCTAGAAACAGATTTGGCCCATAAATTGCAGAGAGCTTTGGAGTCTCTCCAGAACATCAGCACCATTGATTATAAAAGACTATATGCTTTCTCCTGTCTAATATTTTATTTCTATTAAAAGTCATCATGTGTTTTTCTCTGCACTCTGGGTGAAGGTTTAATTCAGCACATATATGAAAATTTCAATATATTCTAAGGATAATTATATATCACTGTCACTGATGCTGCTGCCTCTGTAACTCACTAGCTGGCTGTTGGAGTCCCAGAGTGGAGGTCAGTAACTCATCTGGGCAGGCAGTGCTGCCTTCAGCCCTTCACTGACCTGGCTCCCGGATGCTCTGTGTGTCCTTTCAAGTGATCTAATGCACTGGGGCTTCTAATGCATCAATTTATGCCATAACTCTTTGGTAGCAGGGGCTTTCTGCTGCCATTTATCTTGGTCTCAGCTCCAGCAAGAGCAGACCCTGCTCTCCTGTCTCTTTCCCTGTAGCGATTTTAGCTTCCCGACACAGCCATTACTGATTACAGCCTCGTAACTGGTTTTTGCACTATTAAATCAGCCCTCAGCTCCCAGCAGGATGGCCCTGGGGCTGTTCTACTTGGCACACTTTACTTTGAAAGGACACCAGCTTTCTCAGAATTTCCTAACAATGCTTCCACAACACAAAACTCCTAAGGCATCCAGGAGCTGTTTTCATCTGTCTTCAAGTCCAAAGGAAACCTGACTTACAAACTTGGTTTGTTAGAACAGACTTTAATCTTATCTCTATCAGCCCCCAACATGAGGAAATGGACAAGATATTTACAACACTGACATCCCTCTTGATCATTCCAAAAGAGTTGGGTTTGACTCCCTCTACAGAAAGGGTCACCTGACCCTGGCAGATCATCAAGGGACACCCAGCTCAAGGACAGCCAGCATGGTCCTCCCCCCAGAGCAAGGGGCATGATTTTCAGTTAATCCTGCCATGCTGGGATTGTACATTTCTTGCCTTTGCTGGGGGCACATGTTCAGCTGAGAGGACAGGAAGTTTCTGTAGAGAGTGTGTGAAAGGAGAAGAGAATCCAAAACCTTTAAGTTTTGCAGTTCCCACATTCAGTTTTACTTGGGTAAAACTTAGCTGCCTATAGGGACCAAAAGGTTTTAAAACTGGTACCAAGTGGTGTTACAGACATATTCAAACTTAAAAAAAACAAAACAAAA